ACTGGGGTTGGCTCATACTGGGGGTTACTGGTACATGGTGATGCTGTTACTGGGAGTTACTGGTACATGGTGATGCTGTTACTGGGAGTTACTGGTGCCCAGTGATGCTGTTACTGGGAGTTACTGGTGCCCAGTGATGCTGTTACTGGTGGATACTGGTGCCAGGAGATGGTGTAACTGGGGGATACTGGTGTCAGGGGATGCTGTAACTGGGAGTTACTGGTGCCCAGTGATGCTGTAACTGGGAGTTACTGGTGCCCAGTGATGCTGTTACTGGGAGTTACTGGGATGTGGTGATGCTGTTACTGGTGGATCCCAGTATGGGGTGATGCTGTAACTGGGGGATACTGGTGCCCGGTGATGCTGTAACTGGGAGTTACTGGTACATGGTGATGCTGTTACTGGGAGTTACTGGTGCCCAATGATGCTGTTACTGGGAGTTACTGGTGCTAGGGGATGGTGTAACTGGGAGCTACTGGGATGTGGTGATGCTGGAACTGGTAGTTACTGGTATGTGGTGATGCTGTAACTGGGGGATACTGGTGCCAGGGGATGCTGTAACTGGGGGATACTGGTACTGGGGGACGGTGTAACTGGGGGATACTGGTGCTGGGGGACGGTGTAACTGGGGGATACTGGTGCCAGGGGATGTTGTAACTGGGGGATACTGGGATGTGGTGATGCTGTAACTGGGGGATACTGGTTCCAGGAGATGCTGTAACTGGGGGATACTGGTGCCCAGTGATGCTGTTACTGGGAGTTACTGGGATGTGGTGATGCTGTTACTGGTGGATCCCAGTACTTGGTGATGCTGTAACTGGGGGATACTGGTGCCGGGGGACGGTGTAACTGGGGGATACTGGTACCAGGGGACGGTGTAACTGGGGGATACTGGTACCAGGGGATGGTGTAACTGGGAGTTACTGGGATGTGGTGATGCTGTAACTGGGGGATACTGGTGCCAGGGGACGGTGTAACTGGGGGATACTGGTACGGGGGGACAGTGTAACTGGGAGCTACTGGGATGTGGTGATGCTGTTACTGGTGGATCCCAGTACGTGGTGATGCTGTAACTGGGGGATACTGGTGCCAGGGGACGCTGTAACTGGGGGATACTGGTGCCAGGGGATGCTGTAACTGGGGGATACTGGTGCCAGGAGATGGTGTAACTGGGGGAAACTGGTACCAGTGACACTGTAACTGGGAGTTACTGGTACCAGGGGACAGTGTAACTGGGGGATACTGGTGCCAGGGGACGGTGTAACTGGGAGCTACTGGGATGTGGTGATGCTGTAACTGGTGGATCCCAGTATGGAGTGATTCTGTAACTGGGGGATACTGGTGCCAGGGGATGCTGTAACTGGGAGCTACTGGGATGTGGTGATGCTGTAACTGGTGGATCCCAGTACTTGGTGATGCTGTAACTGGGGGATACTGGTGCCAGGGGACGGTGTAACTGGGGGATACTGGTGCCAGGGAATGGTGTAACTGGGAGTTACTGGGACGTGCTGACTCTGGGGCAACAGGTCTACCCATTCAATGGGTGCTGGGTGAGGGGAGCACCCAGATTTTGGGGGGCACCCAGAAGATTTAGGGGGCAC